CTGTTTCTTTGTCAGTACCATGCTGTTTTTATCACAGTAGCTTTGTAGTATAGTTGCAGGCTGGGGATTGTGATACCCCCTGCCATGTCTCTGTGACCTAGAATTGCTTTTGCTATTCTGGGTCTCTTCTTGTGTGTGTGAGAGAGTTAGAGATCTTTTAAGGGAATGGGGAAAACTCCAGAGTGGACATGCCTGAAGAGCAAGGACTGTGAGCTCAGTAGTGGTACCTTAGTTCATAAACTTCATTCTTTCCACAATTCTGGTAGCAAACCAAGTTGGATAAGAACCAAATCAAATTCAGTGGTTAGGTTCAGTGTTGACTATATGGGAAAACTTGATTTGGTTCTCATCTAGTTCAGTTTGCAACTAGAAGTGTGGGGAGCATTGAATTTGTGAACCAAGGCACCACTGGTATTTGTAGGAAAGCACTGAGATCAGTTCTTAGACCATACAGGCTTTTTGTTAATGCAGTATTTATTAAATGCAGGAATTCCCAGGAATAAGTAATTGCTAGTACCAAAAATCGTTCAAGGTGCTTTGGATTGTTTAATAAGTATAATACCAGCCATCCATGCAGCACATTTTTTTAAGAAATTCATTTTCTAAGAAAGCTAACAAAAGTATACTCAAATTTCTATTAACTCAGTTGATTTTAAAGAACCTAGTTTAGGACCAGGGATTTAGCTCAGTGGCGCTGCACCTGCTTGCAAGTTCTAAGTTCAATCCCTGGTACCAAAAAAACAAAAACAAAAACCTAGTTTAAGCCTGATACATGGGCTCCTCTTCTTCAAAAATGCCTCACAAACCTTTAAAGGGAATAGTATATGACCAAGATAAATCTTCATTTTTGAAAAAAACTAGAATCATAGTATTTCAGTTTTTACTGTATGGTTAATCGGAAAGTATGTTGTTTATTTTGCTGCTGTGAGTTGATGTGACACTGATTACTCATGACACATGGACTCAGTAAAATCGGTAAGATTTGTAAAAAATGTTGCAAGTAGTTACAAATAAGCTTGTATGTCTGTAAGGTTTGTATAACGGTATTACAGTTGTCTCTCAACCTATGATATGTTTACATTTCATTAAGAACTAAAGTGAAAATACCGTATGCCAAAGATGCATGTAATACAGCTAGCCAATGCAACACTATGAATTTAATGGCCTAGACCATAGTAAAAGTTGTTCCTGGCTGACTGGGGAGCCCTAGTCCAGCCTAGAGGAGTATCCTACTGTCTGCTAACCCAGGAAAGATTATGATTACAACTGAAAATCAGATTGAACCATTTTAAGTTGAGGACTGTCGGTATACATACTTTTAAATGATTCCTGGTAGAATTAGGAAAATTTCAGAACTTTTGAGGTGTTGATAATTTAATAAACATTTGCTTATCGTCTGTTTTAATTGGTAGGTTTAGTTTTCCAGTGCATTCAATTTACAACTGTTGCCCTCCAAAAATAAGTCTGTTAGCAAATTTATACTGATCCATTTTCGTATCTACCATCCTTACATTCTCTAGGGCCAGTATTTTCTTAAACTGAACTTCAAGCTTTTGTTCTTGTGCTTCCTCCCAAATAATCCGAGGAGAAAATTCCGACCTAGGGATTTGTAAGCTGGACTTCATAAGACCTGTGAAGTGTTTCCAAACCTTTGGGGGTTAAGGTAGAAAAAGTTGGGGTCGTGCACTACCTTCGCAGAAATAAGATGAAGTACCGTAAGTAAATTGTCAGTGGACAGTTCCGTCTCGATAGTCACCTGGGTTTGCGGCGCCACGCCCCGACGTGGGCCCTTGGAATTGCTCTTGGCCTATGCTCACGCCCCACGCCACTCGCTTCCGGCCAGCAGCGGAAGTCGCTTCTGGAGCAGCATGGCGGCTGCGGAGGACGAGCGGCTGCTGGGGAGCTGTGAGGGAGAGCGACTAGACTTCCTGCGGGACCGACACGTGCGGTTTTTCCAGCGCTGCCTTCAGGTCCTGCCGGAGCGTTATTCCTCGCTCGAGACCAGCAGGTAACTCGGTCACAGTCAGCAGGCCCGGCCGCTTGTGAGAGGCGGAGCGGGGCTGGAGGGCTGACTGGACACCCGGACTGCGCCGCGCCCCTTGATCCCGATTCTCCCTCTTGTCTCCGGCAGGCTGCAGCTGCGCTGGGCCACAGACCTCGGCCGCAAGGTTTGGGAAGCTGCGCCTTTCCGCCTTAATCCACTTCCCTACCATTTTCCTGCCTGCTCTGAGCTTCTTACTGTCCTAGAGCCTGTGAGTTGCTTCCTTATTAGTGCAAAAAGAAAACGAGCGTTTATTGTCGTATTTTAAATAGTCGCTCCCGTGCTTCTCCTCCTTTCGTAGTTATTAACTCGTAATTGAAAGCCAGTATGGCTTTTCATTTGTAGGAGCAGCCAAGAGCCTGTCTGAGTAGACATTTATTTTCCAGGAATTGTAACTCTAATAGTAGACAAAAGAGATGAAGTGTTTCGTGAAGCCGCTTGTATTATATTTGCAGTACTTTAGTGAAGTTGGAGTCAGCTCAGGAGTGTGATCTGGCTGTAGCCAAAAACTGTTATTCACAGTAAAAATCTGGGAATGAACAAACTAAAAGATGTTACTTGCTCCGCATTGCTGTGTTTTAAAGTGAGGCTCCAGAGTTGTGAGACCAGATGGGTAGCTCTGATTGTTTCGCTCTGATGTCTCCCTTGATGTTTCTGAAGTCTAACTTGGTATATTTTGAGCACTGCCCGACTGGGTTAGTTTGAAGACTTACAGATTACACCTGCACACGCGATCAAGATTACAGTTTCTGTGGTAGGTACTGGAATACAGCTGAACGAGTCAAGCAGTTTTGCTTGCATATTAGCATCGAACTCTACTGAAACTGCTTGCTGTCAGCAGTATTCCAGTACCTACCACAGTAATATAACTTTAGTGTGATCATAGGATCAACGCCAAATATTGCATATCAGAAAACAGATACACTTTGTTGGATAGGCAGAGATACTACTACGTTCTTTTTATGTCTCATGCTTGTCATTTGCATGCATTTTAAAAAATCATTTTAGTTGTCCTATGATTTAGTGACCACCTTTAAAAGATAACAGTGTATCAGATTTTTTTAGATTTTCTTTCTTTCTTTTTTTTTGTCAGTTTTTCCCTTTTCTGTTTCACAGTCTTTACTTTCTTGGTTTAGCATTACCCCCCCCCCTTTTAATGTATGTCATTCATAACTGAGGTTAAGATGCTTGTGAAACAAAGGAGACTGATCACAAAATTTCTGCTGATGTTCAAGTTCGAAGACAAAATAGTGCATCAACTAAGTCACAGTTCTTACTTAGCATTGCAGTTCACTTCCATAAGTATTTTTTGAATGCTTACCAGGCATGGAGGTACAGGAATACAGTGGTAGGTGATTCAGGTATTCTCTGTTCATTTCTTTTTTGCTTGTAGATATGAAACAGCTGGCTCTTAAGGCTAATATTAGACTGGATATTTAGACTATTTTTTAAAAATTCATTGTCTTGGCACAGTTATTCCATTTCTCTGGTGTTTTTTGTTTTTAGTCTAACAAATAGGAATAAATGATTTTTACTTTGCCATTGACAATGGCTTTATGAAAATAAATTTTTTTTGCTGTTCCTTCTGAGATTTTTCCTTTATAGTACTTCTGAAAAGTAATAGTTGCTAGTTAATTCAAGTGGCTATTAAACCTTAGCCTGTGAGCTTTGCCAGTTTTCTTTTTAATGAGTGTGTAATTTAAGAGAGTTTTTTTTTGTGACTATGGTTATTGCCATTCATATTGGGTTAATGGAAATTAGAGTAGGCTTTTTTTTTTTTTTTGGTACCGGGGACCAAACTTGGGTCCTTGCGCTTGCTTAGCAGTTGGCAAAACCACTGAGCTAAATCCTCAGCCCTAGAGTAGGCTTTTTTTAATTGAACACTATAGTGACCATTTTCTAATACATTATTTTCATTGATCTAGCTGTTCTGGAAGGGTTAGGCAAAAAGTTTTTATTTTATAAAGCATTTGCAATTTACCTAGACTTTCTGTTCTCTTGTCCTTTGATTTTTCCTGGTGTGTCCTATGTTGTAACACTTCTCCTGCCCACCATTGTGCAATGGTTGTGTCTATCCTTATCTCCACTACACAGGCCGATTGTGGGAGATTTTTAATGTGACATGAAGCACTTATAGAAATGTACATTCCCGGACTCCTCCCCAGATTTGCTGTTTTGGATTTTGCATGGGCCTGCGAGTCTGCACCATAACCAGTATTCCAGAGTTCAAGACTGCTTGACAGAAATAAATATGCCAACAGAGCTTCCTAACTCTTAATGTATATATTAGTTGTGTGGTATCTTGTTAAAATGCAGATTCTGAGCTGGGTGTCATGGGACATGCCTGCAATCCCAGCACTTTAAAAGGTTGAGGCCGGAGGCTCACAAGTTTGAGCCCAGCCCATACAACTTAGTGACTTACTGAGACACTATCTCAAAATAAAAAATATAGGAAAAAAAAAAAAAAGAAGAAAGAAGGTAAGAAAAGTCTTAGTTCAGTCCTCAATATATAGAGGGATGGGCATAAAGATTCTGATAAGCAAGACCAGGTGGGTCTGAGATGCTGCAGTTCTGACAGGTTCCTGGAAGGTGCTGGTGCTGCTAGGCCAGGACCACACTCAGAGTGTGCCTACATAATGACAGTGATGTACACAGGACCTTGTGAAAGCACCTGGCTCACCGAGCTCAGCTTGAAAAGGGCTCAAAGAACTCTTTTTTTGAAAGAAGAAGCCCCAGAACTAAATTTTATTAAAGAGTAGTTTTAGTAGTTCTAGTAGTTTTTGTTTTGAGTTTTGTTTGCAAATGATCTATACTAGTGATGGCAAACCTTTTAGAGACCAAGTACGGAACTGCAACCCAGAACTCATTTGTATTTATCGCAAAGTGCCAACACTGCAATTAAACCTGAATACTGAGGTTTTAGTTTAGAAAAAAAACAACTCTACATTAACATCTTTTGTCTTAAATGAATTACACACTAACATGCATTCCATAGGTTAACCAGCACTGGGCTATACGAATAAAGGCAGATGAGTGAAGAGCAGTTCTTTAATATTGATTCAGAATGCAAAACAGGTAGAATTGAGTCAAAAGAGATAAATGTGGGTCAGATCATTAAAGGCCTTGTGTGCTTTGTGAAGAAATCTGAATTTGATATATAACTGATAGAGTCATCAGACAGTGGATTTTCATGGTTTAGTGGGCATTTCCGTGGTTTTAAGAGTGATTTTTTTTTTTTTGGTACCGGGGATCAAACTTGGGACCTTGCACTTGCGAGGCAGGCGGCGGAACCACTGAGCTAAATCCCTGGCCCAAGAGTGATTATTGTACTGTGTGAAACAGGACTAAAACCAAGGAGGCCAGTTAGGAAGCTATTGCAGCAATATAGGAATGAACAGTTGGAGCTATAAAAGTAGGGATAGAAGAGAAAGGATGAAGAAGGAGGAGTCTAGAGATTCCAGAATTGAAACTACTATCTTGTCTAGTGAACAAGAGGACAAAGTTTAGAATGGGTTTAGAAAGGTAGACAGTTTCTGTAATTGCATTTATTGTGTAACCTGCTTCAGGTTAGAAAGTTGTACTCATGTTTGTGATGAAATTTCATTCTGTGCTAGATGTTCAGTACATTTCTTCTTGAGTAATTATGATAGTAGGAAAGCTACTTTGCATGTTAAATAATTTTAAAATGTGTGACTATGCTTGAAAATATTTACCAGATGAGTCAGCTATTTCAAAGTGTGAATGAATATTGCTTAAAATTCTAAGATTCATGCATTATTTTATTCAATCATTTTAAAGTATTTGTTGAGACATCTATTCAATAATATTTTAACTTCACAATTCCACTGTTTCATCTAAAGGCTCTCTATAGTGATCCTTGCTGAGTCCTGGGGACCCACTTTTCCTCCTCCTCCTCTTCCTCATGTTGCTGTATTTGAGCATCTGGATTCCAAATATGAGAGAGCTGTATTTGTATTTCTTAATTTAATTGCTTGTTTATTATACTTTAGAACTCTGCAGTATGAATGAGCCATAGTTTCAACTAAGATCTAGGTAGGCGTGCAATCCATTGTTAAAGACACTTTCAGGTATCAGTAAAGGAAGGGGTTGTACCAAAAAAGAGCAAAGCAAGTGATCCAAAATTTGGGAATCTAGTCAACTTCCATGAATAGATGTTCCAGTATATTCCCAAATTAGCACTTGCTGCTCTGCTCTGACAATACACTACTTAGTCATATCATATCCATGTCACTAAATTCTTTTTCCATTGCCTAGATTGTTTTTTGTTGTTGTTTGGTTTAGTTTGGTACATTCCTTAAAGCCGGAAAATTAAGTTTTTGGAAATGTTTATAGTTTATCCATCCTTTTGAGTAAATAACTTTAAGGTAGAAAATGTTACTTTTCTGTCCAGTAGAAGAAGGAGAGTAGGAATATATGGCTTACTTGCTACAGCTTTCAGACTACAGACTCAAGAAATTCATTTCTAGGTAAAAGAAAGGCATAGACCAGGCACATCTTCTCCAAAAGAAGTATTAAAGTAAAAATAACTTAATCAGCCTAATTATAGGTACATCTGTTGAAAAGATCACCCCTCTCTATATATGAGGTAGGTTACTCAGAAGTTTATACCTCAAGTAACAAGCAGTCATTAGAGCACTATTAACCCAATATTTCAGCCACCAAAAACCTAAAATTCCTTTGTATTTTTTATGGCTTGTTAGAGGCTTAATTTTATCTGACCATAAATTAATCATTTATTTTGTGGGTTATACCAAAACTAAAAACCCTGTTAAAGCTCTTTAGGGAAGTTAAATGTGGTGTTGAATGTCTTTTATTTGTTATTAATTCAGTACATTTTTTAATACATTCCACAAAGTAGACCTTATCTCATGGATTATAATTGACTTTCAGATTTGGTGAGTGTTACACAGAGGTTTTTTTTGTTTTTTTTTTTCAGGATTTTAAAG